TGGCTTTCAAGACTGTATTTCTTACAGAGAACACTGCAGTTACCAGCCTCTGCAGATACATATGACACAGCAGGTTTGTAGACTCTGTAAGAATTATAAAGATCAGTTTCCATTACTGTAATTGCTATATAAATCCTCTCTTTTAAGAGGCTTATAAACAGGCCTGTTTTTAACCTTGCCTTGAGCTGAAGCTTGGACCTAGTTCGTATGCAACAAGTTCTTCCCCCATCTTCTCTGTAACCTCTTATATTAGTCTTTTTCATCTTAACCAAATATTAGTCTTTTTTCTTAACCAAATTACAACAATAATCCTTGTCCCCTCTTTCTAGATTTAGTAGGTCTTCCATGGTGATGTATTTTTTTTAAATATACTCAACAGCAAGCCCAAATGAGTTTGTTAAATCTGGAAAGTACCGTTTGTTCCCTTGGAACCTGTAACTGTTTCTTTGACTCGGCTGTGCTCTGAAAAGGTGCAAGAAGTCTCCAAGGCAGATGATCCACAGAGTGAAGTTAGAGGTACTGGAGTAAAATACAAGATCACATTCTCTTTGGAAGCCCGTAACTGCAGTCCCCACCTTTTGGGGTATGTGGACTAGTTGAAACCTTGCTTTAGTTGCATGGTGTCCCTTTTCAGTTGTATGTAATTGTTTGAAACAGGGAATTGAAGCAGCTCAAGCTGTTCTGCAGGTCAGAGCTTGCAACACCGAACAAGAGGTTCTGGTCACGTAGTACTACTGATACTAGTAGGTTGGGGAAATAGTGCTCTGTTAAACGCTGGCATGGGTTTGACCCTGGCTTGGGCTAGTTTTAGGCCAGATTGTAGCTTTAATTTGCATCATCAGACTGGTTATTTTTTTAAACTAACAAACCAAGTCTATTTTGCTATTTAAATTTGGAAGGCTTTGGACGCTTATGCCAAGCGTTTTGCTCCTGAGTGGATATGTAAAGCAAGGAATTGAAATTGTTAATATTTTCTGTTTTCCTTCCATAGAATTCACTTCAAATCCCCTATGTTGACTGAGGAAAGAGTCCTGAAAACCTGTAATGGGAGACCACTGTCTGCTAAGGAACTGACTGACTGTCCTATAGCCCAAAGGGAATGGGACTGCTAGACCCTGTGGACTGCCTGGGGAAACGATACGTGTCTGCAGAAAAGGGGGAGCCCTTATTATAGGGCTACCATTCCATGACATGTCATCCACTGTGGCTGTATTAAGAGGACAATGAGTGCCACTTCTAAATTATTTTGTTATGTGATTAGAAGCAATGAATGTCATGGTAACAAGCACTGTTGCTGGTATCTGATGCACTATTGTGAATTTAAAATCATGTTGGTAATCTCAAAATGTTAGGAGCTAAGTGGGAGTTGAGGAGAGAAGTGGCTTACTTGACATTCACAGTCTTCCTCCTTAGCTCTTAAGCTAGAGTAGGAACAGAATCAGAACAAAAAAATGTTTGTTTAACAGCTGTACAAAGTTACGGCTTGGACTCCATCTCCCCCTCTCTCCTCCCCCCCTCCCGCTTGCATCAAGTACATCCTGTACTTTTGGCAACATGTTGACTGGATATTTAAAAGCTGTGAACTGTTCTGAAAGTTTCACATACTGGGTTATGGGCCATGTGTGTTTGATCAAAATTCAATTACTGCACTGTACCATGCTTGGAAACCTATCATCCCAAGTTATGAAGTATGACGAAATAGGCTAATCTAATTGGTTCAGTATGGGAACAGTATCAACCAAGCTTGTTATGATAAATAGCTTCCTGTGTTAAAGGTTCTCTAGAGCTTAAGTATCTTGGCTCACCTCCTTCTACAAAATAAGAATATTGTTCCCTGGGAACAGTTACATCACTGTCCCTCTTCTACATTCAGAATGAAAGGTTTGTAGAATTTCTTCTCTCTTGCTACTTCTTGAAAAGCAGCATGGACATCTACCCTGTTTTCCAGTTCTGCTTTCTTCCCACCTCCAGAGTTAAATCATCTTGCACTAACCATGTCTCTTGGAGTTCTTTTTCAGTCCTGTTTAAGATGAGCTCGAGGAGAATGCTAAACTTGTCTTCAGCTCTGTATTTGGGGGCTTGTGTGTGCATTAAGTTAAATGGGGAAACATTTTAGTTTTTCCAAGCAGCTAACTAAATTACCTTGTTACACTGAATTGCATATCTATGGATATGTTGCTATCTACTTGGCATTTTTATTGCAGCATTCATTTAAAGTAAGCCCATTGTGCAAGTGCTGAAATAAGAGTAGGGATGGACTAGTGTTCTGAGTCTGGATTTGCAGTTGCTAAACGAGCCACTCGGCCAATGAGCTTTGTCCCATAGGATGATACTGGCTCCATGGTTTTAGCAGGCCCATCTTTGGTGATAACTGCTTGTCTGTGATTATGATGTCACCATAATAGACAGCAGCCAGGGTCAGAAGATTGAAAAATGGATCTTTGGCCACCTACATGTTTTTGGGATACAAGAGGATGATTTGTGTGAGGTAACAACAATATCATAATTCTCAAGTCCGCTTCAGAGCAAAATGATTCTGTAGTGGCCATTTTAGCTTCGGCACAATATAGGCCAGCTCTTGAAAGCAGATGTAGTAAAGTAACTTTAGTGGGATTTTTCTCAGGAGTAAAGCTACTCACATGCCAAAGTGCTGGTAGGGGCCAAGTCTTCTTAAAACCTGATTATGCCTGCCTAGTGATTAATGTCCATTTACTGCATTTCTTAAGGTTTGGAGTTTTTTTAAAGATTTGCTTTCATAGACATTTCATAGACATTAAGGCTGGAAGGGACCTCGGAAGATCATTGAGTCCAGCCCCTGCCCAAAGGGCAGGAAGTCAGCGGGGGTCATAGGATCCCAGCAAGATAAACATCCAATTTGCTCTTGAAGGTGTTCATTGTAGGCGCTTGAACCACCTCCGATGGCAGGCTGTTCCAGACCTTGGGGGCTCAGACAGTAAAGAAATTCTTCCTTATTTCCAGCCTGAAACGGTCT